AGTTCGATTCCCAGCAACCACATGGTGGCTCACAACCATCTGTAATGAGATCTGGTGCCTTCTTCTGGCACCAGAAAAATATATATGAAAGTGTTTTTAAGAATATATATATATTCTTAAAAAAAATGCAACATGCCGGTGTTGGTGGTGCACGCCTTTAATCCCAGTACTCGGGAGGCAGAGGCAGGCGGATCTCTGTGAGTTCGATGCCAGCCTGGTCGCCAGAGCGAATGCCAGGATAGGCTCCAAAGCTACACAGAGAAACCCTGTCTCGAAAAACCAAAAAAAAAATAAAAATAAAAAGAATGCAACAAATCTTTGCACCATTAAACAAATGTTCCACAGCATAAACAAATGTAACACAATACATCTTCAACTAATATTCCACAACAGTAACACCCAGCCATGGTCTTTGTGTGGTCATCTCATGAAGTGTTTAAGATGGCTGGTGCTGGCACAAGGTGGCCAAGGCTGTATCTGATTGTCCTACCCCCAGCATCTTTGATCATTTATAGAAAAATGGACAGCAGGAGATGAACATTAAGTTCATAGACCTCAGTATAAACTTGAGGAGCTTGTTAATACTAACACTGATTTTAACAGACTTAAACAGTGCTCATCACCTGCCAGGGCCCAGGTGGAGCCACCCCCAACCCCATCAGTCTCAATTCCATTAAGATAAAATTCATGGGGTAGGCAAACTAAAAGATTTATTTGTTTAGTGTACATGTGGGATACATATGTGGAAGTCAAGGTGTAGTTTGTTTCAGTTCTCACCTACTATGTAGGTCCTGGGGGTTGAACTCAGGCTGTCAGTTTAACAGCAAGTGCCTTGTTCAATAATAACAAAATATGTGAGGCACGCATATAAGAGGTGGTGATACCAAGGGACATCAGTACATAAACCCCACAGTGGTGCAGAAGAAGGAACAGGCAAAAGCAAGGCTTTCTGGTGTCTGTTAGGTGTTTGCTGAGAGGCTATGTCAGGGTTCTCTACAGGAATCGAATTGACAGACTGAATATATACCCTGAAAAGGGATTCATTAGGTTAGCTATGGGCTCTATCGTCCAACAATAGCTATTTACACTGGAGAGTTAGAATATAGTTATCGCACCTTATACCTGCGGGATGCCTCGGCCATCCCAATCTGATGAGGAAAGCCTCTAGGATTCCTAGAGAGCTATGTTGAAAGGCCAAAGAATCTGGGTTTCCATGGCAGCCAAGGTGGCAGCAGACAGAGCCGGCAAACACAACAGGACTCCCTTTGCCTCAGACTGCTTGGTATCTTGATTGTCAGCAGCTGCCCACCTAGGGAGAGGGTCTTTTCTCCTAATTTAATCCTTTCTGGAAATGCCCAGGGGTGTGCCTTATTGATTCCAAATCCAATCAATTTGAAATCTTGATTAACCATAACATTGACTTATTTAAATTGGACATGTGAAAGACAAACCCCCCTTATATACATGGTGAAAATATTTAGGACACAAAATCATGCAAAATGAACATGCAGCCTTTTGAGTCCATGTTCATTCACTCAGCAGAATGCATTTGAAATTCATGTGTGCTTCTACCCATCAGGCCTTTCTGTTTCTTCATAATGCTCCATTCTATGGATGTATCCATTCATTAGCTGAATGAAGGATTCTGAGTTAGTTTACAGTCTGGAGATTATGAATAAAGCTGCTACAAACACTTGAATACTGCACTGAACTGTGTTCTTGTGTGAACACAGTTTTTCATTTCATTTCTCAGTCATTTCATTGGTACTTCAGAGGGAAATGACTGGGCTCTCTGGTTATGTAGTGGTTTAACTTTGTGAACCACAGCCCACTGTTTTCCACAGACTGCTCTGTTTTTTTTTCGTCACACCAGTATTATGTGATAGTTCTGGTTGTTGTGCAGCTGCACCAGCTGTGAGTTTTGTCCAGTTTTGGAGACAAAAGAGGACAATATTTTTAGTGTTGTCATTGTAAAGGTTGTGTGTGTGTGTGTATGTGTGTGTGTGTGTGTGTGTGTGTGTGTGTGTGTGTGTGTGTTCTGAGCCATGCATGCTAGACATGCATTCCTGCCCCCAATCGTCTAAATGTCCCCCTAATGTCTCTGTAAACCCTTGTGGAGTTTTGAGGCTTTAGGTGTGGAAGGGGATGTAGATTTAGCCCAGGCTACTCTCTAGATGCTTGAAGGTAGGAGCTCCGCCAGTATTTTTCACTGTCTGTTGAAAACCTTGTCACCCTCACGTAAGCAACAAACGCCCATTCCTGCCACTGCAAACACTTCTTAGTAATGTTTAGTTCTGTTTCTTCCCCAGAACCTGGGTGCTATCCTGGGATCCTGGACCTTTTTGGAGTTGGAGGTGGCCTTCTGGAGTACCGAGCTAGTCTGCTGGCTGGGAAGGGCTTTGCTGTCATGGCTCTGGCTTATTATAACTACGATGACCTCCCCAAGTGCATGGACACCATGCGCATGGAGTACTTTGAAGAAGCCGTGAACTACCTGCTCAGCCACCCTGAGGTTAGCTCTCCCTCATTTTATTGGCCCCTGTCATATCTCCTCATCATGTGCTGATTCACAGAATGAGCAAACTGATGACAGCCTCTCCCTCTTTATTTCACCAAGAGCCCAAGCCCATTGTCGCTTTCTAGGTTTGATACAAGGAAAGGGAAAGAAAAAGGGAGGCCAGCCCCAGCCAGTGCTCATTCAAATGATGTGCTCAGCAGCCCTCTCCTGCCTATGTCCCTGTGCCCCCCATGTCCCCATGTCCCATCCCCCTGTGTGAGTAGAGGTGGAAGCATAGGGTGAACTTGACAGTCAACAGCGGGAGACCAGGGCTCTGAGCTTTGCAGATCCAGCGCCGCAGAGGCTGAGGTGGGAATCCTGCTTGTTTTATAATTTTATAACCAGAACTTAAAGTGACCGGAAGTGTTGGCACTCTCAGAGAAGTGGAGCCAGCGTAGGCTGCATCTGGAGAGAAGTTTGAGAATAGATGTTGCAATTTCCCACTCCACGACTTTGTCACTTCTTCTCTGTTGACTCCTTTGATAAGCAGATATCCTACTTCCATCTTTGTTGCTGTGACTGAAAATAAAAATACCCCAATAAAAGCAACTCATGGAGAAAGGGCTTATTTTAACTCACAGTTACAGCTTATCAAAGTAGGGAAGCTACAGGGGCAATGCTGTTCATATCACATTCATAATGGGGGTTGCAGATCCAAGAATGCACACATGCTGATACTAAGCTCTCTTTTCCCAGTTTTATACAGCCTAGGGCCTAGCTTAGGAAATAATGCTACATACATTCATGGTGGGCATTCCCACCTCAATTAGTGAAATTAAGAAATTCTCTTAAGGGGCTGAAGAAATGGTTCATCAGTTAAGAGCACTGGCGGCTCTTCCAGAGGACCTAAGTTCAATTCCCAGCACCCACATGGTGGCTCACAACCACCTGTAATGAGATCTGGTGCCTTCTTCTGGCCTGCAGAGCACTCATATATAAAATTAAAAAAAAAGAAATTCCCTTAAAGGCATGTCTATAGGTCAACCCAGCCTAGGTTCTTCATTTTAACCCCTTCCCAGTAAGTCTAGACTGTGTCAAGGGGACAATTAAAAATTTCCTAATAGGGTAATTAAAACGTCATTTGATAATGTAATTATTAGAGCTTTAATGAAGAGTTACATTTAAAATTGGTCAAGGGTACTGTTGCCAAAGGGGAGGGTCGAGGAGGAGGAGTAAGAAGGGGGAGAAAGAGAAAGTAATTGATTGATTGATTTCTGTGGGAAGTCAGCCAGAAGATCTTTTGCTTATATAGCCCAGAGGACACTGGGGTTCAGAACAGGAGCAGTCCATGTGGGACAGTGCCAACCTGTCGCGACCGCCTCGACCAGCAAGGATAATGCAACACTGGAGCTCTTCTTACAAGCAGTTTATTCAGAACCTTTTCAACAGCGACCCCCCCCCCCCACAAGCCTCTCCCAGCCCTTAAGTAGGCATGGACCACCAACCCTGGATTGCTACGTGGGCACCGTCCATAGGTCCACGCATACGCAAGCAGCTTACGATCATCTGGCCTTAGCCATATATGGAGTTGTTTTTCTAAGAGAGTGCTCGCTTTCGGGATAGCGGAGGGCGGGAGCCAGCGCCATCTTTAAGGTGCGGCTCCACGGAGCTCTCTACAGTTAAGGTGCGGCTCCACGGAGCTCTCTACGCCAACCCAAACCACCCAGAAGGCACTGGGTAGGGAATGGAAGAAAGGGAGTACAACAAACATCTCCCACAGGTTTTGCAGGGAACCAGGGTGCAGAACACAGTCATAACTAGTGTGGCCTGGGGCGCAGGGCTGTGAGGAAATAGAAGAGGCTCAGAACAGGGAGGAGCTGAGGAGGACCAGCAGAGAGAAGTCAAAAGAGAGGAGGCCGGAAGTAAGCGTGGAGGCCAGCCCTGGAGCGAGATAGTGGACAGCATCCCAAACACAACTAGAGGTGGCTGCTGAGATTTTGTGGGACACCTGAGGGTTTGAGCTGCCATGGGAATAGGTAGATTGAGGAGTGAGAAAATGAGACATCCTCCTGACAGCTTCTGTCTTCTCAGTGCAGCATGGAAAGCTGAAGGCGGTGGGACGTGTGGGGGCTCAAGAGGCTGAGGAGGTGGGGGAGCGTGTGAGGTGGTCGTTTGGAGAAGTGAAAGCAAAACAGCAGTGATGTGTGGCAGGACTGATGGGCCAGTCCCTGCTGGTGTCCAATGAGCAGCCAGCAGGAATGTTTGTTTTCCTTAGATTTTTTTGGTCCTGTGCTTTTGGCAGTTTTGGCACTTTTGGGAAGAGTGCTAATGTCTTTTTAGAGTAGTTCCATTCCTGCTAGGATGGTTTCAAAAATAGGTCCATATGTTAACCCTGGTCCATGTAGCTCTCCAGCTGGGCTAACTCACTGTTCCCTGCTGTTCCTGAACTAATTCTTATTAATTCATTAATTCATTCATTCATTATATTTTTCTTAGGTAAAAGGTCCAGGAATTGGGCTGCTTGGGATTTCCAAAGGGGGTGAACTTGGCCTTGCTATGGCCTCCTTCCTGAAGGGCATCAAAGCTGCTGTCATCATCAATGGCTCTGTGGCTGCTGTTGGGAACACCATACACTACAAGGATGAGACTATACCCCCTGTGACTATCCTGAGAAATCGAGTCAGAATGACCAAAGACGGCCTTAAGGATGTTGTGGATGCTCTGCAAAGCCCTTTGGTGGAAGAGAAGAGCTTCATCCCCGTGGAAAGGTCTGACACGGCCTTCCTGTTGCTTGTAGGTCAGGATGACCACAACTGGAAGAGTGAGTTCTATGCCAATGAGATCTCCAAACGCTTAGAGGCCCATGGGAAGGAGAAGCCCCAGATCATCTGCTACCCAGAAGCAGGGCACTATATTGAGCCCCCTTACTTCCCACTGTGCAAGGCTGGCATGCACCTCCTGGTGGGTGCTAATATCACCTTTGGAGGGGAGCCTAAGCCTCACGCTGTGGCCCAGGTGGATGCATGGCAGCAGCTCCAGACTTTCTTCCATAAACACTTGGGTAGTAAGAATTAGGGGGCAACTTCTAAAATATTACCCATTATCTAATGGTTTTGGGGGGAAAAGGTTCAAATACATTGTAAGAATATCAGTTAAGATTACTTCAGCTGAACATAGTGTTTATTCAAGGGCTGGAAAAGTGGTTCAGTGGCACAGTACCCAACTGGCTTGTGTAAGTCCCTGGGTTCAATCCCAAGTGCTGCAGAAAACAGGCAAATGTTGTATGGAACCTGTGCCTATTCAAGAAATAGTGCCCAGAATAAAAAGGATGCCATGAGTTGCCACACTGTTGTGTCATTAAAAATTATGCCCTTCAGTTCTTGGGCCAGTGTTGCTATTGTCATCTTACTTCTAAGAAGTGGCTTTGGGGTGACTTGGGGGCCTTTTTAGATGCTTGACACATTATAGGCAGCAGTGAAAAGAAGGGTTTGGCTGCACACATATCCAACAAGAACAGCTGTTGTTTTAAACAAAATCTCAATCGTTCAATTTTTACCAATAAAGACTTGGGAGCCACATGCTGGGGTGAAACTCTGCTAGCTCAGAGAGGCAGAGAAAGCACCCAGCTGACCTTCCTCCGATGCCCTCATCCCAGAAAGAGGCCTTTCCTATTCAGACTCAAACAAAACTCCCCTAACGATGTGTACCCCCTTCTTCCTGTTCATCTCTCTCTTTCTCTCTCTGACCTCCTGTCTCCTTCTTACTCTCAATGGTATTTTCCTGTCAACTGATTGCTTGTTCTGTCCCTTGACATATAGCTGTTTTGTAACATGAAAAATAAATGAACCAGAGACTAATACTGGTGTTCAAGCTTCAAGCTGAAGATCAGAAATGCAAAGTAGCTGACCACTAGCTCTTACCTCTAGCTCAGGCTGAAAAGGCTGATCCGTGAGGTCTTCACCAAGCCCCAGACTGCTGCCTCTCCTCAGTGTGGCTGGAGAGAATCCAGAGACTACCTCAGAAATGTCTCAGACACTGGACTCCTGTCGTTTATATACCTCTCTAGGGTTAGGGTTAAAGGCATGTGAGCCCAGGTACTGAGATCATCTTTGTGTGAGCTGTTTCTCTTTAGGACTGTATCAATTTCGAGTAGCTCAGTGTGGCCTTGAACTAGCAGAGAGCTGTCTATCTCTGCCTCCCAAGTATCGTGATTTAAGGTGTGTGCCACCATCACCCAATCTCTATAGCTTGTGGCTGACTTTGTTTTCTGAATCTTCAGGCAAGCTTTAATAAATCATAAATAATATATTGCCACTGATTTTATTTAATCCTGTTTACAATATTGAAGCAGTCATCTCTTTTTTGGGGGGCGGGGGGCTTTCGAGGCAGGGTTTCTCTGTGGAACTAGTTTCTCCTGGAACTAGTTCTCGTAGACCAGGCTGGCCTTGAACTCACAGAGATCTGCCTGTCTCTGCCTCCCGAGTGCTGGGATTAAAGTCATGCACCACCAACACCCGGCAAGCAGATATCTCTTGAATTAAAGGTGTGAGCTAGGGCTGAGCCATACCACAGCTAGAAGCAGGTTTTTCCAGTAAATAGTTCAGTCAGTCAGCTATTGGTCATGTGAACACAGGAGGCTTTCTCTACCCAGTGCTAGGTTCATGGTTGAGCCCTTATAACACAAGACAGGTTGTCAGGAGAAAAGCATATAAACGTATTTAATAAAAGTGGAGCCTTCCGAAATGAAGTCTCAAAGCATTATGGAAACCTGTGTGTTTCATTGCCCAGTGTGATGGAAAGTGCATAGCTTGGAAGCCTTTGGGGAAAAGAAGGATGACCTAATTAACTTGGAGGTGAGGAACATGGGAAGGTGTGTACTTTGGTTTTTATTACTGTGATCAAATGTCAGGACTTCTGGGCACACCTTTAATCCCAGGACTCAAGAAGCAGAGGCAGGCAGATCTCTGTGAGTTGGAGGCCAGCCTGGTCTGGACAGTTCCAGAACAGGCTCCAGAGCTACACAGAGAAACCCTATCTCAGAAACAAAACAAAACAAAAAAAACCAAACCCAAAATGTCATAACTAAAAGCAACTTGGGGCAGGGGGAAGGGTTTACTTGTCCTACACTTCCACATCACAGTCCGTTATCAAAGAAGTCAGTACAGGAACTCAAGGCAGGAATCGGGAGAGGCAGGAACTGAGACAGAACTCATAGAGGAGCACTATTACTGGATTGCTCTTCAGAGCTGACTCTGCCTACTTTCTTTCTTCCTTTTTTTTGTAGCTTTAAAATGATTTTACTTTTCAAACAGCCAGTGAATAGTCAGACTTTAGAGTAAACTTGCCAGGGCCTACATTTGCAGTAAAAACATTGCACATTATCTCGAGTTTTCTGAAGGTCTGTGAAGGACTGCAGAGGGTGAGAACAAAGACCATCTTTTGTGGCAATGGTTGTTTTTCTTCCATGCCAGTTGCCTCCTGAGAGCCTGTGTCTCTGAAGGGCTCTTCCAGGGCATCCATGGCACTCTGCCCTTTGGTTGAAACTGGAGAACTAGGACACACTGCAGTTTTCTTTCCCCTGACTTGTTGAACATGCAAACGAGTCTCACCGTTTTCTTGTTCTGGGTGGTTTTTTTCTGATTATCTCATCCAATGTTCTGTGGTACAGACAGAGGAGACTGGTGGGTTGGGAGAGACATGTGTGGTCAAGGGACATTACTCAGCCTGCTTTCTTAAACAACCCAGGACCACCTGACCCATGGTGGCACTACCCAAAGTCAGTAATAAAACTCCCCACCACATCAGTCATTAATAAAAGAAAAACTCCCCAGACTTGCCTACAGGCAATCTGCTGCAGGCATTTTCTCAACTGAGGTTTCCTTTCCCCAAATGACCCTGGCCACTGTCATGAAAATAAAACAGAAACCACCAAGCAGCACAGAATGCAGGCTCAGATCCTTTTTATTTCCTTATCTAGGTAAGGAGGCTTCCTTCTTTCCTCTTTCTTTTCCTGCTATGGTATGTAGTCCAGGCTGGACTGGAACTTGATATCCTCATGCTTCAGTTTCCCTGAGATGACAGGGATGTACTGCCACCCCCAACAAGAGGTTGTTTTTCCTTAATGATATTCCTTTGATATAGGGAGGGAACTTTCTAGCCAGGTCTTATGAAGTGCATAGGGAGAAGCTATGAGAGACAGTCACAGTAAAATATCCTATAGCCCATCAACTGTCTGGCTAAGGACAAATAGTCCACTGGGCTTCTGAGTCCAGGACACGGCCATTGGGACTTCTGCTTGCTGGGTCCTCAGGAGCTTCAGGTAGGGAGAGGCAGCGGCAACCCCATACGTTTCTCCTGATTGTGGTTGGCAGTTGGCCCTGAGTAGCCCACACATAATGGGCACAAACATTTTCCACACTGATTTCTCTAAAGTCTGCATCGGGCTTTTGGCTTCAGGCTGCCAGGATTTGGGGGAGAGAACACTTTTTGTTCCCAGTGTTTTTATGGTAGAAGAGTGTGAGAGAGAAAATGGATATATTAGAATCATAGCCACTTTTTTTTTTTTTTTTTTTTTTTTTTTTTTTAAGGAACTAGAGCTCAGCTCCAGTTTATTAGGGTTAGGTAACCCAGCATCTGATGTCCATGGGGTTCTACCGTATTCTACCCCCCCCTTCCTTCTTGCAATCCTCCAGCCTCAGCCTCCTGAGCACTGAGGAGTAGGCATGCTTTACAAAAGGATATAGATATGATAAGGTTATCATAAGGCTGGGAGGTTTTTTTTTTTTTTTTTTTTTTTTTTGGTTTTTTGAGACAGGGTTTCTCTGTGTAGCTTTGGAGCCTATCCTGGCACTCACTCTGGAGACCAGGCTGGCCTCGAACTCACAGAGATCCACCTGCCTCTGCCTCCTGAGTGCTGGGATTAAAGGTGTTTGCCACAACGCCCGGCAGGTTGGGAGGTTCTTTAGTGAACTATTATCACCTGCATTTGTTTAATTCTTACCCAGCAATCGAATCTCGATTACTCATGAGTTTTTCATGAGGCTCTCAAGAAAGCTAGAGCTTGTTTGTTGAAATATCTGGGAAAGTATCTAACTTATCAAAGCCGAAGAAAAGGGTATCTGTTAGACATCCGAGTGAAGATAGCCCATGGAACCTCTGAGGACACATCAGGGCTGTCAACAGACTGCAAGATGACAGATGTGAGAACTAGGGAGTCATTTTCACTTTCACTTTATATTAATCTATGGCATAAGCTGAGCTAGAAAAATTTAATTAAATACAAGTATGTAAAAATGTGCAGGTTTCCTTTTCTGGGTCAATGTGCAGGTTTCCTTTTCTGGGTCAGGTATCTTGATCGGTTGTCCCGTGGAAAACAAAAAGTCCTGGTGAAAGACCTTAAAGCCATTGATGAACTGAGACGGATGAAATGAAGCTGTCAGGTTGGGGTGTGAGTGAAATGCAGAGGAAAGTAGAGTACCCATGGCAACCAGCTTGTTTGTGGTCAGCATGAGCTGAAACTCAAATTATGGCCCTGAAACATCTCATTACAGGCATCAAATTCACATTAACTAATATACATTTTTGATATAATTAAGAGAAAAAATAAATACTGATATCATTAAAAAAAAAAAAAAAAACATGTGTAGCCAGGGTGGTGATCCCAGGCCTTTAATCCCAGCACTCAGGAGGCAGAGGCAGGCAAGATCCCTGTGAGTTTGAGGCCAGCCTTGTCTACGGAATGAGTTCCAGGACATCCAGGACTACACAGAGAAAACCCTGCCTCAAAGGAAAAAAGACAACACAAAACCTAGCATACATGTCTGAAGCTATGAAGCTGATGTTAAGGGCATGCAAGATTTCCTAAATTCTAATTTTCCTCTGAGATCTCAGATTTCGTCACTGGTAACAAAGCTGTTTTCCTTTAAGTACCAGGCTGATATGGCTCTTTTGGGAAAGTGTCTGCCTAAGACACAGGTCTTCATGTCAATCATACTGTTAAATAGACTAAATTATGTATGTCATAGTATTATGTTGAAGAAGTTTTATCGCTTGTCTTGGAAGAGTGAGCAGCAGGTCAAGTGCTCACATGGTGACCTGAGTTCAATCCCTGAAAATCATGAAAACGTAGAAGGAGGGAAGTGATTCCATAAAGTTGTTCTCTGACCTCAACACTCATGATATAGCATGCTCTCCCTTCTCTCTCTCTCTCTCTCTCTCTCTCTCTCTCTCTCTCTCTCTCTGTCTCTCTGTCTTTCTCTCTCTTTCTCTTTCCTCTTCTCCCTCTCTCTTACACACATATCTTTTTAAAAAATTGTTTTATTGTATTATTTCAGGGGTATGGTTGTTTTACCTGCATGTATGTTTATGCACCAAGTGAGTGTAGTGCCCATAGAAGCCAGAAGAAGGCATTGATCCTCTGGAACTGTAGTTACAGATGTTTGTAGGTGCTGGGAACTGAACCCAGATCATCTGGAAGCAGAGCCTATGCTCTTAGCTACTGAGTCATTACTCCAGTCCCCATAAAATGGGAAAAGAAAAGAATTCTTACAATGCAACAATAAAAAGACAATCAGCACACACTGTTGATGAGGTCTAGCGTGATTCTCCAGAGTTAAGTACAGTTTTGTCACATGACCCAGCTATTCCAGTCCTAAGAGAAAGGCAAGCTATTCAAGTCCTGCAAGAGAAATGAGAACATATAGCCATACAAAAACTTACAAACAAATGTTCACGATAGCTAAAAAGTAGGCCAACCCAAATTGTTCAAGGCTAGCCTGGTCCACTTAGTGTATTCCAGGCTAGCCAGAGCTAAACAGACAGTGAGACCCTGTCTCCCCTGCCAACCTCCCAAAAGAGT